TCGTTTAGTACAATTTGTGTACACGCGTTCCACCAAGGATATCCTTTCCTTGGTATTTTAAAATAAAATTAAGTATATCTGTGTAGTAGTATGTCTGTTCGTTCTTGAACATTAGTCAATGATATCCTATATTCACCAAACGTTCGTACTATTCTGAGCTAGGTCTTTCACCAAGCGTTCGTACTATTTAGTGCTAGGTCTTATACCAAGCGCTCATTCTCTTTTCTATAAACTACCTTGATGAAAATAGCGTTCGTCTAAAATTCAATATTATACCCTCTCTACCGTGTTCGGTCTTTGACTGGCATTTGGTTTCCTGATGTTAAATTCAAAATAAGATAAGTATTTATAAGCGTTCGGTTTCTTCATATGATTATTTGATGTATTAGTCTTTGAACGTCTTGAAGTGTCTGTTTCTATTGGGTTCAGCCTAGAGTCTCAGTACCTGGTTTGGGTTTTTCGGTGTTCGATCTGAACTCTCATGAGTCAATTCATTGAATTGGTTCTCCTTGTAAATAACATTCTTTATGTTCGTTCTTGTGATATACGATTTTACTCTGGTCTGTTCTCATCTCGATAGTAACCCTCTTGGTCTTAATCTTTTCTGGAACTGGAGACCTCTCGGTCTCGCTCCAAGGGTTCGGTCTCATTCCGAGTTCAGGGGTGAACGTTCGGTATTTTGTATTTTAAGTGATTTTAGTTAAAATGGAAGTTTGAAAATGAAAGATGATGAAATATGATTCATATGAAATGTATTGGAATTATGGACGAGCGTTCCGGGGAGGAATAACTTATGAATGAGTATTGGAATTTGGTAAAGTATGAATGTGGGCATGCTAAGCTGGTGGTTCATCCTGATGTTTCGTGATTACTCGTCCTCACGTAGAGGAGGGTAAGTCATGTGTGGGAACGGCAGGAGGTCCTAGTCCTTATGGTTAATTTGGACAGATAGGATTAACCTCGGGTGGCAACTGTTGAGGGTATCCATGTTACTACATCACTCGAGTGCATGAACGTCGTAGCTACACATAATTCATACAGTCCGGACAGTCAGTCTAGTATTAGGCTTTGCATGAACGAGTGATTAATTATCTTGTTTGGTTTTGATTGTGTGAAATATATGGTTATACATGAATTAAATTACATAAGCTCACCCTATGTCTTTATGTCTTGTCTGTTTTGTACGATCGGTTGTCCTTCTGTTGCAATGATCATCCATGTGGATGTGAGCAGAAGGAGACGAGCTGCTGGAAGAGGCGCTAGAAGAAGAAAACTTAGTAGAGGTAGTAGAAGTTAAGACTGAACAGTAGAACCGTTCGGTCAGTAGTTTAGTTAGATAGCAAGGTGATCGTTCGATCACCTCTTCTCTTTTTTTTTGTATGACCGTCCGGTGTTGGCTTTTGTAAACGGTTCGGTATAATAGCTTACCTCGTACAATTTAAGTTTTTCGTTCTTTCTGTAAGGCCGTTCGGCCATAAGCGTACTTCTATTTTAAAGTAAGACTGATCTGTGATATTATTTAATGTGATTATTCTCTTATATAGTTTTAGACTGTATTTTTGGGATGTTACAAGTATGAATTGTTTTATCTTATATTTATTGTTTATTCAACATAATAAAAAAGGTTATATACTCTTTCAATTATGTACTAAAATATGTTTTTATTTTTTAAGTAAAATTGAGAATTAGTTTTTCTTCGAAATTTTGACTTAATTTAATCCTTCAATTTTAAAAATATATAGATTTAGTCTTTTCAGTTAAATTTTATTAAGTCTATTTGATGTAACATCCCAAAATATAGTGTTTAACCATATTATAGTCCTCACATAGTTAATAAGATAGAACACATATAAACTATAATATAATCTATAAACTTACAATTATCCAAAACAACTTTAAATTTTGAACTTTATATACAAACTAGATACTCAAAACTATTTACAATACTAAAGAAAACTAAACTACGGGGTCCCCTCCATCCAATGCCTACTCTAGAGATACATAATCTCCCCCTGCTCACACCCACAGGATGTTCATCGCAAAGAGAAGAACACCGCACATACAAAACATAATCATAAACAACAGGGTAAGCTAGTTTAAAATAAAAGAACAATCATTTTTTTCATCAACCACACTACATACAATTATACATAGTCATTCACTAACACAACACACTTTATGCATGACACTATAATGAATTTACCGTCCGGACTTAGAATGATTGTCGAGCTATGGCAGGTTGTGCACTTGTGGTGGCTTCTACTGCTTTGCAAATCCATTGCCAATGGGTTTCACCCTACCACACTCACAAGGTTAGTTTGTTCCACACCTTGGAACATACTGGAAGCCCCCAAGACTAAGACCTCCTGCTACTTCTCATGACATGGATCAATCCTCTCTACTTGAGAATGAAAGACCATTGGAGTTTTAAGATAACCCCCAAGACTGAGCTCCTGCATTCATTCTAAACATACTTGAACCTCACCAAGAGGATTCACTTTGGAACTTACTTTCACAACTTTGAAACCACATACATGGACCAGTCGCTCAGCGACCACACTCGTTGGGCGACCCCATAGTTCTCTCGCTCAACGACCCAACTCGTTGTGAGAATAAAAATGACATTAATCCCAGACCCCAACCTCTCACTCAGTGACCTAACTCGCCGTGCAGTAAACAAACAATGGTCCAGACCCCTAACCCTCTCGCTTAGCGACCCTACTCGCTAGGTGAGACCAGAAATAGTGGCCAAAACCCTTGAACCACTCGCCCAGCTACCCAACTCGCTAGGCGAATCCAAAGACAGTGGTTAAAACCCCTAAACCACTCGCTCAGCGACCCAACTTGCTAGGCGAAACCAGAAACAATGGTTTAGACCTCTCAACCACTTGCCCAACGACCCAATTCGCTAGGCGAATCCAGAGACAGTGGTCCAGACCCTTGACCTCTCGTTGAGCGACTCCACTCGCTCAACGAGTCTGCATAATTCTGCTGTACGAAAACTGCATAATTATTACCCCATACCACACTTGACCAAATTGATGTATTTTTTTTCCAAATTATAACCCTTCTATATCTTGTGATACACTTAATTATGCTCAACCAAAGTTGTCTAAACAATAAACTCATTTTAAACAAGTGGCTACAATATTTACCCCAAAACTTACAAAACATGAACTTAGAGACTCAAATTGAATTCTATCATTTGTGGCACAATTTCAAGCAACTTAGGGACTCTAACAAGTCCCAAATGACTTACCAAGACTCTCTAAATTGACCATTTGAACACAGAACTCCCAACTCAAATTTTCATTAGTTCATGCTTGAACATGACATCAAACAACTCATAACCAACCTCAATTGCACCAAATTAGTTCATCAACCATTTTTCACAATTTCACTACCTTAGACCTCATCTTGAAACAAATATTGACCTAAAACCAAGAGTAACCATTTCCCTCAACAAGTTAATCAACACAATTCACTTCATCAATATCACATCCAACATCAATAACATTTATAAACAAATCCAATATTGTTCTAACTATTCATCATCACACAAAGCATCAATTTCACCCAATTACTACAATTTTCACTAACACAAAACAACATTTGCATTCAAACAGTTTACTACTCACATTCCATCAAATTTACACCACATACTTCAATTAAAAGCAAATATTTATCTTCCCTTACCTCTAACAAACTTCTACAGTTGTAGAATTTCCCCGTAGCTTACACCACAAGGAACTCCTAAAAACACCTACAAATCACTGATTGGTGATTGGAAAGAGATCTTAGAACCTAAATTGAGTCAAGAATTGAAGAACGAACCAAATTGATACATGCAACAAAAACCCCTTGTAAGATCAAGAATTAAGAAAATACTATGAAAAAGGGAACGAAACTTACTTGCTCTACAACAAACTGATCAGTTAGAAAGGTAGCCCTTGTCGCGAGGATCACCTAGACACCTCCTGATCGTCGAACAAATGATTTAGGAGTAAGAAATTGTAGAGAGAAGTGAAAAGAAACAAATAGAAAAGAGTTTAGAGAGATAAAATGTTCTTAAATTAATGAGACAATAAGAAAATTCTATTTATATTGTAAATTTATTTTATAATAAAATACTTAGTCTTATTATTTTAATACACCTACTAACACTAATACTCTATTTTTTATAGGTTTTATATTTGATGTTTTAAACACATTAACAATTGTTTATTGTCTTTGACACAATTTTTTTAATATTAATTAAAAACGTGTTTAAAATCTTAAATAAACTTTAAAAAAAATTAAATTCACACCGATGGTAAACTAAATTAATTTAAAATATAGAAAAGGTACGAATTTTAATTTTTACTTGAAGTTAGAAATAAAAATATATTTAATTCTTTAATTATTAATAATTAAAAGTGTAAGCATGGATAAAAAATCTTTACTTTAAGGTGTACAGAGACAAATAATTGTATGGGTCTTGTGCATGTAATATTTTCTAAAATCAACAAAGTTATTTTCTTTACCAATGATTAATTCTGGAACCCCTTGCGTGATTCTAATTCTTTGTTAGTTGAATATGAAACTTTGTTTTGACAAATGATTGATTGTGATATTACAGGTGGTCAAATTTCTCTCTTATTTTGTTTAGGTGGCTTGCGATCCTTATATTCTATTATTCTAATAACTTGTTTTTATTGGATTCATTATTTTTAAATGTTCTTAAACTATTCTAATTCCAATGCCGTATATTTTATCAATAAATCAATTTTAATTAATAACATACTATGTAGTGATGTTCATCTTTATCATCAATCTGATGAAAGTGACTGTATTAACTTGTTTGAAAAATTAAATAAAAAATCACCTTAATAGTGGAAAAAAATATTAAATCTAGAATCTAACATTTAATTTGTACCTATTTCATATGATAACATCGAGTTTGTATAATTCAATTATTAAAACATGTAGTTGTATTTGGAATTAAAAAAATAAAAAAAGTAACTAATAGAGAGCACGTTATCAGAAGCAGACACAGTGGGATACACGCACCTAGGTAGCCATAGCAAGCATCAGCGTAAACAAGATCGACAACAGTGCAAGCAACATCATCAATATCATCGACAAATCGAAGTTTCAGAAATCCGCTGGCTATGACTGCTGCTGTTGTCGTCCCACTGGGCCTTCTCTTCTTCTCCTCTGGCCTCATCGTTAACCTCATTCAGGTCATTCCTCATTTTTTTTTCTTTCTGTATAAAACAAAATCCCTATTCTTTCACCGTGAGCCGACCCTTTTCTCACTGTTTTTATTTTTTGCATTTGCGGTTATTATTGGACATTCGATTCGCCCCTTATTGTTGGAACCCTCTTCGTTTTGTTTAACTGGAGAGAAAGTGTTTTTCACTGTCTATTGGTTGTTTATCGGTTAATTGATGATAATTGGTACTATGGGTGTTGACAAGTGGTGGTGTGATGCTCTCAGGCAGTATGCTACGTGTTTGTGCGGCCGGTGTCGAAGAATTTGTACCGGCGGATGAACCGGGTGGTGGCGGAATTGCTGTGGTTGGAACTCGTGTGGATTATTGATTGGTGGGCCGGTGTTAAGGTGTAGTTTCTCTTGTCTTGTTCATTTGATTTAAGGTCCACTAGTGCAGAGTGTTTAGTGCTTTGCTTGCTTGCTCTGCTAGATGATGTGGATTCGGAGTACTGAATGAGTTTACCTGGCATGCAATGCTGGTGTAAAAGTTTGTATAGTGTCAAGTAATCAGAGATTATCTTTGGTATGACTTTTAAAGTAGTTACTATAAATGATGGTTTGTGACTGGGTATGTGTTGCTTATTTTTGCTGAGTTATTTCTGGTCAGTTTCTTGAATTGATATTTGAATTTTTAAAGCTTGGTATTTGTAGGCGGATTTGACCCTAAGATTCGTTTAAATAAAGGTTGTTTTATTGGGGAATGAACCTGGTCATGATGTACGGGATACTCAAAAGTGAAGTAAATGAGAAAGTTGATGCTTGGCTTGTATGATATGGACTTTCTACTGAAATGAAGCTGTTCTAGCTCGTGTTCATTTTTTTAATGGTGGAATTTAATGGAGCAGACAGAACATAATTATTTGTTGTTCAATGCTTTTGATCGCCCTGTCCCGGTTCTAGTCTTATTATTTCTACTAATTTCTTTGAAGCATATTACAATTGTAAAATTGATGTTTCATCTAAAAGAAAAAAAAATATAGTAATTTGAAAGGCATAATACGTGAATTTGAGTTAATTTTTCTTATTGTTGGATTTGGAATAATCAAATATTTCATTTGTAACTTTCTATCTTCAGGTCCAAGTATTCACAGATAGTGAAACTTTTCGTTTAATGGGTAAGTCTCCTGTACTGTGCATTTGGTGCTCTAGGCTTTCTTACCTCTCCCCTCTTCATTCTGTTTCTTCTTGTGTTGTGCACGTATTTTGGAAAGGAAAAGGAAATGTATATGGTCTCTGCATTTTTCTTAATCTAAATCACTTGAGTTCTGATTCATTCTGGAATTTGTCAGGTAAAGAGCATGCTCTTGTCATATCCAATCACAGAAGTGACATTGATTGGCTTGTTGGATGGGTTTTAGCTCAGGTGATTGTCTTAGTTAGTATGACCTCTTTCACATTCATCACAAGAAATTTAATACTGGAATTTACATATGTATTGGAATCAGTTGCATGTTTCATTTGTCATTTTGAAATGTTTAATATTATCTTACTAGGACAAAAGTACTCATAGTTGGGGCCTACTTATAGGTTTATTTCACCATAAATGTGATATTCTTAGATTTAAAATGTGTTTCTAGACTCATCTAGGTTTTGCTTCAACTACTGAATGATTATTGAACGTTATTATTCTTCAGCGTTCAGGTTGCCTTGGCAGCACTCTTGCCGTGATGAAGAAATCCTCTAAATTTTTACCGGTATGTTATGTGAGAGCTTGTTGAATGGTACTTGTTTTCCAATCCTTATGTTTTAATGCTTTGATTAGGGGTGATACAAATGATATGATTTGAAATTGGAATGAATTATGAAATGGGGTTTTATTGTTTGTATATATTGATAATAATGGGATGGGATGTTCTGTTTGGTGGTTTGGTTTATCACACGATCTATGTCTACTTCAGGCCTGGTTGGACATGGAAGCTTTTGAACCTACTTGCATTTTTTTTTGGCTTCATTGATAATATCAGTGTTTGTGTCAATGTTGATCTATCAGCTAAGTTCAAATGTGCAGGTTATTGGTTGGTCAATGTGGTTTTCTGAATATCTTTTCCTGGAGAGAAGTTGGGCAAAGGATGAAAGCACGCTAAAGGTATGAGATACTAATATAATTGATGTTTGCACGTGTTATTGTTTTAATTATAGAAATAAGGAACATATCTTATATAATCAGTAGTACACAGAGTATATATGTATTACTAAGAGTGTTTTTGTTTATTCTTGTATCATATCTTTATTATTAAAGGATATCAAATCTTTTCTATATATTGTATTAATTGCTTTCTCTCAAACAAATAAAGCATTATTGTACCAGAAACACACTATATCAGTTTAATGTCTCTCTTTTTCGTATAGTTTAATGTCTCTCTTTTTCGTATAGTTTAACTGTTATATTAATGTCTTCTCATCCATTCACCAAGACGTAAAGTTACTGTAAATTCTCTATCTATCTCCTGCACTTTCATCATCCTCTCTCTCTTGGTGCATTAACTGCTTTTTTTATTTTGCATGTCATTTGAGTCTTGCAATATTGTATTTGCAGTCGGGCCTACAACAACTGAGGGATTTTCCTCTTCCCTTTTGGTTGGCTCTGTTTGTAGAAGGAACTCGCTTTACACAGGCCAAACTATTAGCTGCTCAGGAGTATGCAGCCTCAGCTGGATTGCCTGTTCCTAGAAATGTTTTGATTCCAAGAACTAAGGTTGATATATATATATTTCCTGATTTTTTTGTTCGTCTTTTTTCCTTCCCTTTTTTCTTTTCACTGTTTGAAAGTTCTGCATGATTCTTGTCTAGCTAATTATCTGTCTCAACTACATGCTAGCATATTCTTGGTGGGATTTTGTGTTAAATCATTTCTATTCTACTGCTTATGATTAGTTGTTATCACTCTACCTGTCAAGGGTGGCCAATGGGATTGTCTCAATTTTTAGTTTTAAAGTGGAGGGACTATACTAAAACAAATAAGCAAATAGAAGACAGTGTATTCAACCTACACTGTTGGGCTTGTAGTGATGTATATATAGGATACAAAGAAGAGTCAAGGCACTTGCCTAAAACCCTAACCCTAAAGCTGGGAACACACAAAGGAAAAATTAATAAAAATACTTGAGAATTAAACTATAAATAATTCTAGAGGGCTTGATTGATCTCTCTCATAATCTTCTATTTATAAGAATAAATTGATACAA